CAAAGGCTAGAAAATTTTGGCAGTTTTCAGCAAAGACGATTTGAGATATTCTGGAGTGACAAAAGCCCAATGCCAGACTGAGCGATCGCGAACGCGATTGTCTGCGAGGAATGTGAAGAGGAAGACTAAGTCCTAAAATATTTCCCCCCAAAGAATGAAGATAAGCAGCAGCAGTAAATACCACTTTTGTTTAGACAAATTCCAATGCATGTTTCTGAAGATAATAATGCAAACTGTCGCTTAGTACTTTGCTTTTGTTCATAAAACTAAAAATAGAACAGGCGAACTGCATTCTGCATCACATATAGGCAAAAGAAGGAAGTCAGGCGGTGTCATACTTTGATCCGAACTACAGGAATCCGCTGTTTTGCAAATCTGATTCGAAGAACACTCCCCTCACCGCGGTTCTGTAAAACAGCCTAAGTGCCGCAAACTCACCTCTGTAAGGATCTCGAGCTGTGGCCTCTCAGCCAAACGGAAGGCCTGAATAACAGGTCAACGTGCACCCTATCAATGCGACATTGAGAACTCTAGATCAGTCGACCTAGAGCAATCAGTTAAACCTCAGTAAACTTCAAAACAGTTAGTCACTGCTGAAATCCTAGGCCACCTGAATCTAAATTTTTTAAATAGCTGGCTTGGGATGGCATATGGTCCAGAAATTGTGAAATCAAAAACACGCTGTCCGGAGTACATGTGTTGGCAAAGCAGGTGCTAGCCAGACGCGGGTTTCGTCCATGTTCTGCCGCTGCATGGCACAACTGCGAGGGATTAGGCCCTCAGCGGGATCCCAGCGTTTCTCGTGTGCTTTCTGGTAGATGCTCCAGTTGGGAAAATGTAGTTCCTTAATGTCCTCGGAAATTAATTTCTGCCTCAGAGTAGATCAGTATGGTCAAGGCGCAGGCAAAATATTCATAACAGATTTCGGTCTGCGCGTGCAGACCCTTGAATATCCTGATATACTCCGGCAGAATAACGGCGAAGCACCGGTGTGGGCTTTTAGCTAGTACCTGTGCTGCCAGTCTGGTAAATACAGTGGAACTTCGGTTAACGAGTTTAATCCGTTCCTGCATCAAGGTCGTCACGCGAAACGTAACCCATGAAACTGCATCAGTTCACTGATTGGCTGCAGGCGACCGAGGACCCACGCCCCGGAGGAGCAAGACTCAACGGCGGATGCCGGCACACACACGCACACGCACTGACAACTCGTTAACTGGGTGGAAGCTCGTCAATCAAAACAAATTTTCTGCTAGTGGCTCGCCCGTTACCGGAAATGCCCGCAGACGGAGCTGCTCGTCACCCGAAGCTCTACTGTAATTAGGTAACTTGAGCCAAATGTGCTTAAACTCAGGGGTCAAGGTGGACGCCTCGTAGCTCAGTTGGCTAGAACGTTACTTGCTTTCCTTTTGCTTGTATGGGTTGGAATCCCACAGAAGTTTTCACAAATGGGTGAAATAAATGGCGTAAACTACGCATGTTATCATGCAGCAAAACTGGATAAAAATTCGGAGTTAAAAAAAATTCGACGTAGGCACTTACTGATTGATCCACGAGATTTGCCAAGTCGTCGCGGACTTGGAACCAGAGTCCAAGAATGTCTAGTAGATGTGTAAAGTCCCTGAGATAGATAGACATGGATTAGGACAAAATTAACAAGTGCAGAAAAATATTAGTGTCTTCTATGTCCAAGGACGCACCTTTTGTCTGTAGAAAATAGCTGCATGAACTTCACTGCCATCCCAAACAGGCCACCGGTCTCTAAACGAAAAAAAGGGGTCATGAGCAGGGGCCAATGTAACAAAACAATTGGTGAATATAATCCGGTACTGGCTACAAAACGGCTACAGCAGACAACATGACGACAAGAAACACCCATAAAATTTGCCACGAAACAAATGTACCCCCAGCCGCTAGATACCAATTATTGTGATGGGATAGTTATGGTCGACAAAAAGGGACAAAAAACCTGTTCAGGGAGGCTTACGGAGGTAG